AGTTAAAAAAGTATTTGACCTAAAAAAATATATGGTGCATTTTCCGATATAATAAGGTATATCTGGGCAAAATTTGAGCAAAATCGATTTTTCAGTCGTGGCCGCGAAATGTCTCATATGTTCGATTTTTACTGACATTCACTCTTAACAACTTAAACATTTATAAAGATTTGGATAAACATCTACCTAATTTTTCTTGAAAGTAACTATTTAGAGCCTGGGTGTACGTCTAATAGTAAACGTCTTAAACATAATTATATAGAAATTAGGGTAAATAAATTTTTCGTTAAAGTCAATATTTGCTTGGTCACTATTTGTCATCAGTCAATGCATTCTTTAACTTTATTTGACTATTCAGCATGGTTCATACCTGAACAGGGCTCGAAATAACGAGCTGCCAATGACCAAAAGCAGGCCATATTTTAGAAATGGCAGGCAAAAACAAATTTGAACAGCCAAGGTAAAACCATATAAGATATCTATGGTAAAAACAAAATGGCGGGTGAAATTCTATCAATATATTTCATTTCATTTGCTTACCACAACTCGTACATACTAGATCATTTAGTTGACTAAATACGTTTATATATATGAAATGTAAATCCAAGTTCACTGTAGTATTAAAATAGACAGGTTTAAAAATAATTAAAATGCATATCATGAAAACATTGATTTTTACATTATGACTCATATGAGACATCGCCATTTTGGCAGTTCAATGAATAAATATAACCGGCTAAAATTTATTTCACCTGCCAAAAAATGTTAGACTGGCAGGTGATACTTTTTCTCTACTTCGAGCCCTGTACCTGAAGCAATTGTTTACTGCAAAGCCTCTGCCTTGCATAACTACATGTACTTTAATAATATTGATTATTACATTAGTAAATATACCTTGTTGTAATACCATGTTGTAATACCTCGTTGTTATGCGTTGGGATTTCCGTAAATATATCGCGGGTAAGGCAGCACTAACTCTGTGCATTTTTTATATTATTATGTTGCATTCATGCTGTTTTTATCCAGAAATCATCAACACCGTGATGATATTTTACTACAGGGAGAGAAACAGAGAGTCGACTAGACAAGGGACGACATTTAACACAGATTGTTTTGAAAGACATGGGACCCCGCATATAACATATTTATTACAAACTTACATTTAATCATCATGTAGAGCAACAAAACCAATCTTGCCAAAACACATCTGTCTGAGTCGTTTAATGCAAACTTGACCTTGCTCGTAAAACTTTTAGGCAACGAGGCACAAGTCATCACGACATTTCGTAAATCGCCAACACCAAAGACCAAAAGATTGATAGTTGTATTGTAGTCGACGCCTTCGTTTTCAGTCAAATTAAGATAATCATACGCAGGCACGTTGCCCCAGTAATAATGCCGCACACAATCTCGAGCAGCATTTGGAAAGAAATATCGCTCGAGTGAACCGGCTAGTGATTCTATCTTCTCTGGAATGCGTTTGCACTCGACCTTGTGTTCATGTCGATGTTTCTTCTGACATGTCCTGTCGCAATAGAAAGCACGATAACAGCCGGTACATTTTTGTAGCGATATGCCGATTGTACCGCATGATAAACAAGTATTTCTGATAGATACTGGGCGACATTCAGCGTCATTGTGCCTTGCGATGTCGTTTTCTTTGCATTTGTTACTGCAGTACTTGGCGACAGCACAAGAACGGCAAATTACAGTTGCGGATGTTTTACCACAACGCCAGCATTCAGAAAATCTTGGCATTTTATATCCTTATATTGTTCGTCGCTTGATAAGCCCGAATTTGATAAAGACAGTAAAATAACGTACAAATTGTTTCGATTTTCCAAGTTCCATGAAATGGTATTCCAGGAAATACCACCGGAAACTGCATCCAACCTTGCGCAATGCACGTTATTGGGTTTCGCAAGATAAAATGTGAATGCGAAGTGGCATGTAGTAAAACACTGACTACCGGAACACCGGAACACCACCGGAACACCGGAACACCACCTAACCCTAACCCCAGCCCTAACCCTAACCCCAAACAAAATGGTGGTGTTCCGGTGTTCCGGTGTTCCGGTAGTCAGTGTTTTACTACATGCCATGCAAAGTTTGTATCAATGCTCATTTCAATATTTCTCCTGTATTAGCTTATTCGTTTCGCAATAATTTTCCTTTGTAAGAGAATATCCATTATTGCAGCGACAGAACCATGTTGCAAAGATTTCAGAAAATTGAATTTACTTAATGATCCAAGCCCTTTCAAGTTGAAAAACAGCCGGAAAATACATTTAATACACGCCAAATTATTATCTCCGAGCCAGGACGAAGGGAGAGAGGGCGTGGAAACGCCAAAACATCGAGCGTCCCCAATCTCGTTCCCCGAGCCTGCGATCCTTGGGAAGGAAACGAAGGCTCTGGGATAATCCATGTCAGAAATGAATATGATTGGTTGCTGGTATACAATGGAATGTTGCAATTTTGCAAAAATTAATTTTTAACCGTATATTTTTACATACAACATGGCGGCCGTTTAGGAGTGTACGAATATTGTTTTGGTGTTTCAGAGCTGTGCTATATACTAATACTACAAAGGAAATGCAAAGAAACGTATACTTAATGCGTATAATATCACAACAGTTAAATGGAGCGTGAAAACTTTACTCATATTTGTGTTGTACAGGTTTTCTGTAGTTTTAATGTATACATAGTATACAGTACTGTCAGTACACTGTACTATTTGACTATAATATCAAATATGTGCTATATTTTGCAAATACTATTTGTGTCAGAAATGGTTAATAACTTTTATTAATTTGTCTTTGTGTTATTTAATTGCGAAGAACTAGCTAATGACTAGTTTCAATAAATCCAATCTTGGGATTTATATTTTATTATTTAATGTATATA